GACAGGGGGCAGTGCCCCAACCCCCTGATTGGCCCTGCTCTGTGCATCACAGGGGGTGGCCCCTCAACCTCCCCATCGACCCTGCCTTGAGTGTGACAGGGGGCGGTGCTTCAACCCCCCAATCGTCCCTACCTTGAGCGTGACTGAGGGTGGCATCGCAACCTCCCGATCCGCCCTGCTCTGTGCATGACAGGGCGCAGTGCCCCAACTCCCCAATCAGCCCTGCTCTGAGCCCGACCAGGGGCTGCACCTAGGGATTGGGCCTGCCCTCTGCCACCCGGGAGCAGGCCTAAGCCAGCAGGTCGTTATCTCCCGAGGGGTCCCAGACTGTGAAAGGGCACAGGCCGGGCTGGGGGACCCCGCTCCCCACCCCCCCGAGTGCACAAATTTTTGTGCACCGGGCCTCTAGTTAAAGAATAAAAAGGAAGATTAAAAAGTCACCATAGGAACTTTCCATTACTTTGTATACATTTGTCAGTTAAGTTCTCACCAAGCCAAATTACGTGATAGGATTGTGCTACAGTAAATTATGATCCCGGATGCTGTTGAATAAGCACTAGAGAGTTGATTCAATTTAGCAGTCACTTTTATTTCTGTGTTCACCTTGGTGGTGTCGCTATGGTCCTCGTGGCTAATGCAGCTGCAAGGCCCAGGTGACTTTTCAGTTCAGGAGGCTCCATGTGCAGCCAACCTAAAGCTTTTAACACTCCAGCAACTGATAATTCTCTTGGGAAGCAAGTCCCCTATCCCAGATTCATTCAATCAGGGAGACTTATTTCCAGGCATTCTGAAATCTGTGCTAGCCCAGCACATTCACCAGCCCAAGCCTCACCACTCAATCTTTGCATCACACCTTGGGTTTTTCTTCCTACGTGAAGATGTTTTTTTCCTCTTCAGGATGACACCCAATAATCAGAAAGTCCCGTTCATTATAGTATCCCCAACATAAAAACAAGACTTCATTGGTTGAAGACCAGAAACAGCTATCAATCTTCCATTGACATGACTGTGTTGGCAAGAGTTTTTCATCTTTAGAAACCGTGTTCCCATCCTCACACGAGGGAGAACAAGGTTGCCCAGCATAGACTACTTACCATGGCAGGTTTGGTGGTGGCATTTTTCCAGGTTCTCTCTCAACTAATCTGGAATAGTAGATGTTTTTGTAAGGCCAGATGGTAGGGATGTTTGCCTTCATTTGCATAATAGTGTTTGTTATGGGGATCTTCTGTGTAACAACCCCCAAACTTGTGGTGTAAAACAACAAGCATATTGTGTTTCAGGTTTGTTGGTCAGGTATGTGGCATGGCTTGACATCTGTTCCATGTGGTGTTGACTGAAGTCACTTAGTGACCTTCAGCTGGCAGATGGGCTGGTCTAGAGGGTCCAAGTGGCGTCACTTACGCTCAGACTGTTGACTGGAGCACCTTCACGTGACCTCTAGAACATGATGAGCTCACGGTAGTCTGACTTCCTACATGGCAACTTGCTCCACAGACTGAGTGTTGTAAGAACCCCAGGCAGCAGCTACAAGACTGTTTATGATCTAGCTTCGGAAGTCCCAGAACATCACTTCTGTCACATTTCATTTACCAAACAATTTACCAAAGCTGGCCCAGACCCAAGGGGAGGGGAAAATTAGGCTCTGCCTTATCGCCTTTCTTTGTTAAGATGCTAGATAAGCCCTGAGTGCTGACCCCCTGACTGAATCCTGCCACATGTATGTGCCGTGCACATGTTAATGGGCTCATGAACTGTTTTCCTCCTTAATCTGTATTTTGTCCGCTTGTTTCACAGACCCCGACACTGAATCTGTGGGTGCAGAGGAATTTTTCCCTTCCCTACACTGTCAAAGATGAGTCAAGTTTGGTTCCCACCTCTTAGGAACTTGCAGTATAATCAGAGAGACTATACTTAAAGAGGTAATTGCAAGAATGATCCTATATAATAAAAGCCTAATATGCTAAGTGTCCGGTCTTCCAGTCATAAGTTCAATCAAAGCGTAATATGCTAATGATATGCTAATGCCGCTCAACCACTCACTATGACATGCACTGACCACCAGGGGGCAGATGCTCTGACCGGTAGGTTAGCTGGCTGCTGGGGTCTGGCCGATCGGGACTGAGCGAGACTTCATCCGGAAGGATGTCCGGAAGTTCGTTCGGCTGTCCAGTCTAATTAGCATATTACCCTTTTATTAGTATAGTTTGTGAAGACATGGTGAACAACTGGTGTGTGCGTGAGACCACTTAGTAAAGGTGATATTTGAACTGATTCTTCAGTGATATATATAGGACCTTCCTCTCTCACCCCATCCCCCACTTCCCCTCTCCGCCCCCCCCCCCTTTCCCAAAATTCTAATTTCAGATCTGTCCA